AAATATTGAAAATTTTAAAAAAATTCCTTGACTATTCCCAGCTTTCAAGTTTCTGAATATCTCATATATGATTATTTATAAGCAACCTAATAGTTTTTTTTAACCCTTAACTAATAATGTAGAATTTAAATGATCAAAGGTCAACATATGATGGTCTGTGAACCAGATCTGGCTTTCAATCTTTTTTTTAACAGGAGTTCTGGCAGCTGAGTGAGTAAGCAGTTGCTCTGCCACACAGGCAGCACAAAGGCAAGCGGTTCGAATCCACCAGCTACTCTTAACGAGAAAGAGGAGCAAGCTCCTCTGTCCCCAGAAAACCCTCTAGAGGGTCAGTATGAGTTTGTTCAACTTGATGGCAGTGTGAGTTGAGAGCTAAGAATGGTTTTTGTATTGTTTAAAAAAAAAAAGTTTGACAGTATGTGGGCCACAAAACTAAAAATATTTCATATTTGGTCTTTCTACTCATATTACATCTATAAAAAGGACACTGTTATGAGAAAATATTCTATGTCTTTCTGCATATATTTCATTTTCCTACTCCTGAATAAAATTTATAAACCACTTTTTCCTCGTGAGTTCCAACTTAAAAATGGAATGGACAAGCCAGAGTCTGTTATTGTTTATATTAGTAATTATCACCTCAAACTGTGTCTTTGAAAGTTAATATATCTTCCTCACTGCTCTTGGAATTGGGGATTCATGAAATCTAACCCAAAATACCTTCAGGCTACTGCCAACACAGTGTGTTTGAAATACTGCTATGCCAGGCCAGATGAGGAGCTAGCCTGGAATACAAGATATGCACTAATTACCATTTTCAACTTTCCATGATACTGTCCTTGGAAAATGGCCAGCAAAATGTTCAGTCACGGGGAGGTGCCCTGACTTATGTTGTTACTATTCATTACCATTTCCTATTAGATAATTGGGAATGCTTGACCCCTTACCAGTGCCTTGTCTGCAGAAGCGGTGAGCCGGTTGTAGTAATGAATCCTTTTGTTCAGAGCAGAGGCATGGTCACTAACTTTCTGAATGGCATCATTCACATCGACGATGTTTGTGGGCTCTATATAGAAAGGCCTAGAGAACGGAATATACACTTGACAAAGAACGTTCAGCCAGAAATTCTGGAAGTCAGCCACTGGAGAAAATAGTTTCTTGTCCTCCATTAGAAATGGGATGCACCAAGGCAAGCAATTCACTTCTCACTTTTGGTGGGAAAGAAAATGCCACAAAGGAAGTATTATCTCATCCACAGAATAAAGCTTTTGTCTCACAAAACTTTTACTTTATACCATGCTTTCTAAATCTCAATAATTTAGTAATAGAGGAGACAAAACAGATAGAGCTTAAATGAGTTACTAAAAAGAAAGACAGAAGCTCCTAGTTTTTTGACCATAAATTTAGTTTTGAACATTTTCATAAAAAGCAGTTGGCATGAAATAAAAGAAATTACAGACAAAAGTATACCTTAATAAAGAATTTCTACTCTTTCCCTATGGAATGAAGTGATTTCCTATGGTAAAGAGAAGTTCTATTTCTTAGTTCATGCACTTAAGATTATGGATTTAAACCATCTCTCTGTGAGGCTTTGACCAAGTAGTATTAAATAGGATGGATACATTAAGGCACTGGATGATTGCCATACCTTAAAAATAGTTTCAACTTCTTTCAGAACCGTAAATGTAGAAGAGTTCTAGGGACTTGATAAAACTCTTAACATTTCTCTCTTTATTATATGAATCTACATATAAGCACAAATAACAAGTTATATTTCCTTTGGAGGCACACTGTAACTTGTAACTATATCAGAAGAGAATGGGTATCTTTCCATTTTAACTCTGGTTGGTCTTCCCATTTCGGACAGTGTAATACTGGGAGCTTGGAAATCAAATGGCATTTCAGTAAGAAACTGGAAGGCTTGGCAACAGAAAATGATTGAAAATTAGATTCTGAAGTTGGGACATATTCCTGGAAAGTAAGCACATACATTACTAATAGCCTAGTGGAGTATAATACTAAAATCTAAGAAAAGATTTTCTTCTCTCTCTTCAAGGTTCTTTTCAACCTTCCCTTACAATCTCGTTGACTATCTGTCTCGTGCTGGTATTTAGCCTTAGATGGATTTTACCACCCACTTTGGGCTGTATACCCAAGCAACCCGACTCTGGGAAGACCTGGACCTGGCTTCACACCATCCACAAGCAAGGCCTCCATCAGAGGGACTAATATAGCCTAGTAGAGTATATTACTAAAATGTAAGAAAAGTAGATGTAATTGCTAAATTAATTAGGTGGTGTCAATCTCAAGAGGATGTAATGCAAGCAAATACACTGGATTAAAGAAGCAGAATAAATAATTTTTTTTTTAATAAAACATTCTTAGTACTAATTTGGTAGGCTGAAATTCCTATCAATCTTCTCAAGGCATTATGGTTGTTTCCTATAGTATTTACATCTCTACAATGACAATCAGTGGCACTAAAAAATCTATAGAAAAATAATTCTATATGGGAGACAGGACAGTCACTTTCTGCTTTGCGAGGAACAAACCCTTTCATGTCAACATAAGGCAGAAAGTCAAGCTAATCGGAGATTATGAAAAGAGTCCATAAGTAGCACAATAGTGATAGACTGGTAGATGTTCTACTTGTGGCGCCTTACTCTAAAAACTCAGCGGCATATTAATATCAACCACTAAGTTGGCTTGCAGGCTTGCTGGAAAGCAGTCCAGGAAGTGCACTAAATTTCTCGGCTCCTGGCTCCTTACCGAAGTGTTAACTATACCAGTTTAGTTGGCTGGGGGACTCTGAAAGCAGAATGACTCTGAAAGTTTTTCTTTTCCAACTGTTTTCATCGAGATGCTGAAGGCCTGTTCAAACAAATATTTTGGAGTCTTCTCAAAACAGATCCTCTTTAAAAACATATAACTCAGCATATTTTGATGGCGCTATTAGAAACATATGGTAAAAGCGTCATTCAGGCAAAACAAAACCATAAATTATATTTTTAAACTAAGCTTCAGTTGGATCTGAAAACATTTTTAATTTTTGTAATTAAACAATACTTACTACACAGAGAACAATATTCAGAAAAGATGTCTTTTGGAACTTGGGGGTTTTCCCCCTTTTGAACAGTTTCACATGACTGCTTACCATTCATCTGAAATGCACTTCTGCTCTACCATACAGCAAATAAATCATATTTCACGTAGAAGTTATATTTGTTTTATCTTATAAATATTTATGATCATGCCACAGAAAAAATACCTTTCATTTTCAACAAATTTTAAAAAATATTTTAAAAAGTGAATCAAACCCTCTGTTTTCTTTTAATACACTTACAGAGAAAACCTATTTCTACCTAACATCTTTTCCAGGTTCAACTCCTTAAATTCCTCAAAAATTTTTGGCTTTCTAGTCTGTCTCCACCCTTTTACTGACCAATTCTACATCTCTGAAATTTAAAAAAAATATCATGACTATTGAGAAAATGTACACCTAACATGGAGACTTTTGAGTTAAACTGTCTTTTATTCACATCTCTATGCAGCTTTCAAACACCTAACAGTCAAGGGGTTGTCTACTAAAAAATGAAAACGGAATCAGGTGTTTAAAGAACCCAATGTAAATAAATGTTCAAAATCATAAACAGCCCAATTCAATTTCTATTTGCTTTGTAAAACAAATTCTGTGCCTATTTGGTGCTTCCTCAAAAAGCTGAACATAGAAATTTCATATGACACAGCTACTCCACTGCTGGGAATATATCCCAAGGAAATTAGAACTGAGACACAAACAGGGATTTGTACACCAATGTTCAAACAGCCTTATTCACAATTGCAAGAACACAGAAACAGCCCAAGTGTCAAACCACAACTTAATGGATTACGGAATTGTAGTACATTCACACAATGGAATACTATACAACACTCATGAGCAATGATCTCGAAAATTACTACAAAACTTGGGAGAGACTGGAGAGCATTATGCTGAGTGTCTCATGAAGACTAAGACCAATACTGCCTAAGACCAATATTATAAAAATAGGTTAACTAGTAAAACGTGTATGGGGACCCAAGGGTTGGAAGCAGAGGAGTGAGGATGAGCAGGGGGAAAATTATAGGGTTGCACAAATGGAGAGGAGGAGGTAAAGGAAATGGGGAAAATATGGTGGAAACCTGAAAAGACAGGGCAATGGTGGGCATAGTCCAATGGTGATTAACTTTATACAACATAACGCATGGGAATGATTGTATAAAACACAATGTGAATGAAGGGTAGTGGGAAACACAATGTATACAAACTTTGTATAAAAACTAATATAAAACAAAAACTTTTTAAATATTAAAAACCAAAAATCCAGTAAGATATTCTATGCCTGCCAGGACATTTTTCAATTTTTTCAATAAAGACTACTGAAAAGTATCAAGTCAAAATTCCTTGCTGCTACTAGAAAAGTAAAGAGCTCTGACTGAAAAGTGTGTTTCACTGTGTTGGGCTGCTAACATAAAGATGGCAGTATGGAAGAAAGACGAAGCAAGTGCATTCCTGATAAAATGAATAGTTCTAGAGACACCATGGTTATATAAGGCTTGTCCTTCTTTATTTTGGCTAATTAATATGTATTGATTGTCAATTTAATAAATATGAGAAAAATACTAAGCACTGCGCTAAGCATTAACCATTAATAAAATACAGAATAAAAAATTTTAATCTTCTCAAGGAGAATGATACTAAAAAATTTTAATCCATAGTGAAACAGAGAAGGCAGAATCAGAACCAGAAAGCAGGGACAAAGTATGGCATATATGTAGGATACTGTGGATCACACAGAAGAGGAAGCTGAACCATGTCTGCTGGACCACCATGGAAGCTGTCACTGACTGGAATTTTTTAAAAAAGCAAAGTGAGTTTCAAGAATGGGGAATGAGGAAAAGCACCATGTCTCAATAAATGGAAAGGAATGAAGAAAGAGAGAGGAGAGAAAGTATGATGATGTTTTTAAAACTTTAAGTGACAAAAGAGGAGGTTAACCTGGGAAAGTACACGCAGGAACTCAAATGGCAACAGAAGACTTCATCCTAAAAGGAAGACTCTCAATACCAGTCCCCTCTCCTGATTTCTCTTCATACCCCAAACCTTTAAGTGTTAGCACATTCTCTCCTCTAACTACACTCAATCCTTATAATGTTATATATCATATAACATATGATGATAGTTATAGAAAAGCTTCAGGTCTTTTGTTCATAGGGTCCCTATGAGTTGTGCTTGACTCGACAGAAATCAACAACAACATATAAATACTTTTTAAATTTGTTTACCCTTAAATTGTTACTTCTAGCCTGAAGTCCTCATTGATATATTTAGCTGCTCCATCACCCTTTCCCCCTCATCTTTTAGGCCTCATTGTCTACTAACACTACCCAAACTGGTCCCCTCAGCATTCCTGAAACATTGTAGGGCCTCTGTTATTACTTTCAGGTAAAAACGAAGACTTTGTTTCAGGGGTTCCATGCTATCAGACCAGCAAGCCTATTCATTTTTGTGATTCTGAATTCTATATCTTTTCTTTCTTTCACTGTCCAAGGTCCTCTAGCAGTCCCTTGTAGATGTCAGCATCTAGTTCTTCTGGTCTCAGGGAAGTGAGGCTGATGTCCAAGTGGCCCATTAGTCCTCTGGCTTAGTTGTTTCTCTGAGCCTTTCATCTTTCCTTCTCACATGGAGAGACCAAGAGTTGCACAGTGCACCTTCCCCTGACTGCTCACAAACTTAAGATCCCAGCCCCAAAACAGAAAAAGAGGAAGAGAACACTGATTTTGTTAGACTGTGCTATGCCAACTGACCTTGATGTCTCCTGAGGGTATGATTCTGAGGCTCTAGGACTTACTAGACCTGAGAGTGTTTATTTAAGAAGTTTATACAACTGTGCCACCTGTTGGCTCTACCACATACATGAATACATTTACAGCATGCACACTGACAAACCAAGGCCAGTGATTAGTCATGAGTGAAGTCCCTTTCATCAGTGCATATCTGTTGCCTTGAACTGCTGCATGGCTAGCTTCTTCACTTCCCTCAA